ATTACAGCCGTAAAAAATCTATTGTTGACGATTTTGAATAGCAGTAAAATTTAGCTTCTTGGTTATTACAGCAGCTTTAGTAATTACGTTTGTTTTATTTTTTAAATTGCTTTATCATTAACTGTACCGTTAAGAGCGGCATCTTTTGGTTCAGTACAAATACTATCTCTGAATCACTTTCTTTAGCAGGAACATGATACTAGCAGTAGTTTCATTTTACTTTTACAAGTTTCTTAAAACAATTGTTGAGTTGTCTAAAGTGCTTATTTCTAAATTCAATTTCTTGTTCTAGCTTTCTGTTATGTTTCGTAAAAAAGTAGTCTTGATTATCCCGACCTGTCAATCAGACGTAGAATGGTCGATAGACTGGTTAAGCGAGACTAATTTCAAAACAAGGGCACGTAACCTATCTTTTACTCAAAAGTGTCTGGATGTTATGGACGCAACTTGGAACCAGTTTTCAGTCTATTTTTTTATAGATGATTAATGGTCAGAGCTTATTAAGTACAACATGATCGTTTATTTAGTGACTATAATTGTGTGAAACTGATTTGAGGCTTGGCATATATATAAATATTGTGGCGTAATTGTCGAGATATTTGGAGATATTTATTTATGGTGGGTCACCCTAGTAATACTGTAAATATTGGTAGATACTAGTGTAGAAACCGATTTAACCATAAGAAAATCTTAGGGGAAATCCTATCACGGGAAGTCAATGCACACTGTGTCCAAACGGTAATCATCACACACCAGGGACCATGTCACACCGGCATAACTCCCCAAAAAGGAATTTAGGGGCCAACCCGGGAGTGTGGTAGGGTGGGGGGGGGGAACAGCCATTTTCCAGAGGGTAATTGGCTTGAAAATAACACAAATTGGAAATAGTGGTTCGACGTTAATTTTGGGACAATTTTTGAATGCCCCGGTGTCGGAATTGGAGGGGGGGGAGGGTCCTTTATAGCACGGTAGTAAGCAATTTTGAACCTTTGCGCTTGCGCTACGCTGGAAAAAATGGTGCCATGTCTAACAAATTCCGGCTTACTTTTCAGCTAGGTACCTAGGTGCCCTGAAAATTTCAAGGCGACCGGTGGTCGTAGAACTAGGAACAGGACATTCTGATAGAATATGAAGAGAACTTAAATCCCATTTTATACGACTCCAAGAAAATGATTTTTAACCCAAAAATGGGATTCTAGGCATAAAAATGTTGGTTTTTGGGTTGTTGTTTTTTACTGCACTTTATCGTCTCTTCTGTACGTGATAGGTATTAGTATTATACGCAATATCACAAAAAGTTAAATTTTCAAAACCACTGGAATGAATGAATGAATGAAATATGGTTTTATGGCACGTCAGCTCCAACCGGCTATATTGCGCCAAGAATATGGTGAATCTAACGAGACAAATTAAATCGATATCACATAAATGAATTTATATATGTAAATAAAAACAAATATCACAGAAAATATATTAATTAAGAATAAATATAACAAATCTTTTACATATATAAATATTTAAAAAGATATACATGATTAAATATATACAATTAAAATTGATAATAAAAGTTTGTCTCTTTTAAAAATGTTAGCACTTTGTCATATAGCTCCGGTTGAGCAAATAGCTGACGTACTTGCAACGGTAGTATTTAGATCTAATGTACTTGAGATGTTTGCACTCAATCAAGATGTGTTTCACTGTCAAAGGAACATGACAGTGAACACATTCCGGTTGAGGCTCTCGCTTCAAAATGAAAATATGAGTTAAAAAGGTATGACCAATGCGAGAGCGACACAAAACAACTTCATCCCTCCTGTTGGTTCTATAGGAGTTGGACCAATCTCCTAGGAGAGGCTTAATGTGATGAAGTTTATTTGTGCCTGCAAGATCCCAAGACCGTTGCCAGCGGTCATAAATAAAATGATTTATACACGAATTAAAATCTTTATAAGGTATTAAAAAGGGTGATTGGGGAAGATCTAAAGCAGCTTTGGCAGCAAAATCTGCTTGATCATTCCCCCTTATATCAACGTGACTGGGGAGCCAGTAAAAGACGACGTCTTTGCTGTTAAACTCATAAGATAGTAGCAGACGATAAACATCTGCTACTAATGGGTGTTCAAGCTGTTTATTATTAATTGCTTGAAGCGAGGACAGAGAATCAGTAAAGATGATATGCTTTAAAGATGAAGAGGATTGTATGAACTCCAAGGCCTGAAGAATGGCCTGGAGCTCAGCTGTAAATATTGAAGCAGCAGGTGGAAGACACCCCGAAATGGTCTCAGATGGTGTCACGGTAGCCGAACCTACCCGGTCGCCATCTTTAGAACCATCTGTGTAAATAGGAGCATAATCACCATACGTAGACCTTAACTCTCTAAAGAGAGAGTGGAACACCGTCGAGCTAGTATCCCTCTTTTTATGCTGAGAAAGATCGAAATCAATCTTTGGGGGAGACATAGCCCACGGTGGAGTATTAAAGAAAGGGGTATCCGCAATACTGTCAAGGCTGATACCAGCCTCAGACAAAAGGGGTTGTATGCGAATACCGAATGATGGAATAAAATTAGTCTTCACAAGATACAAATGCTCATGAAGAGGTCTAAATATGGTGTTAAATGAAATGTGATTCGGTAGTGATGCAATTTTCGTAGCATACTGCAGGGCCATTTTATCACGTCTGTTGTGCAGTGAGGGCTCGTGCGCCTCGACGTCAAAACCACTGGAACCATGTCGGTGACAATAAGAACGGAAATGCCGAAAATCGCCAAAATCCGCCAAAATCGACAGCTGAGGCATCGTTCCGGTATTTCCAAGATCTCAAAATTTTCTTAGAGGGTGCATACTACTCATATCTATCACCTTTTAAAAGCTGCGATCTCGAGAACAATAATAATTCGATAAAATATGGGCGATTTTAATAGAAAACGGCTGTTGTTGGTTGGGGTGGTTTTCGAGCAAACAAAATCACTGTTCCCGAAAACGCACCCACTATTTTTTTAATAGGTTATAGCTAGGATCCCAATGCACATTCTATCAGCATTTCAATGTACTACGACCACAGGAATGATGCCTCTATAGTCTAAAAACACCGTTGTCGGTAAAAAAAACAAACAAACCCGGCCTTCTTTACGGGTTGCGCTATGACGGCGGTCATCTTTGAAAATCGACCTAAATCAAAATAACTACATGGTAATATACCATTATTCTGCGAACGTCTTATGGTCTCGCCACCGTTACCGTTGGTCGTAGAAGCTTGAAAATCGGGGTGAATACGTATACTAGCATCTTAAAGTACATAATGCCTGCAGTCCTTTTTGATTCCGATCATAAGAAAAGGATTTATGGGCAGAGCTGTATGTGGTTAAACCCCATTTGATTTCATTGTTGTTAATGGATCTTTTTCATATTTGGCTTGAACCCTGTCAATATTCCTAATCCACAGCCTTCTGTTGTTCCTGAGTTATCCCCTCTTTGCCGAAAACCGTATGAAAGCGATAAAGGCTATATGTTTTAACAGATTTTTTTGTCCCCCGCCTTTCGAAGAAAGAGGACTATTAAAATGGGTTCGTCCGTCGGTCTGTCTGTCCGTTGTACTTTTTGGGACACATTAACCCTCTTTATAATTAAGCTAGAATGTTCAAACTTGGTTTAGGTGTTTATTAGGTGATTGCCTTGATGTTGTTCGAAGATGAGAATTTTCTGCTTAGGGTAAGCAGAGATAGGCAATTTGATTTGTTAATTCTTTGGGACACGATAAAGTTCTAATTAAGTGAGAGTGATGAAACTTTGGGTATACTTTCATAACATCAATACCTTGACTAAGTTCGATAATGAGTATTTTCTGCTCAGGGTAAGCAGAACGATAAGCAATTTGATTGGTCGAGATTTTGGAACACAACAACTCTCATTCTAATTGAGTTGGAATATTCACACTTGACGTAGCTGTCTATTAGGTGAATGCTTTGATGGAGTTGGAAGATGAGAATTTTCTGCTTACCGTAAGCAGAGATAAGCAATTTGATTGGATGATCCTTTGGGACACGATAACTTTAAATCTAATAAAGTGAGAGTCAGGACACTTAGTGTATAGCTTTATTACATCAATACCTTGAATAAGTTCGATAATGAAAATATTCTGCTGGGGGTAAGCAGAGCGATAAACAATTTGATTGGGCGAGACTTTGGGACACAATAACTCTCCTTATGGAGGTAGAATGTTCAAAATTGTTGTAGGCGTTCATTAGGTGAATGCCTTGGAGTTCGATGATTAACATTGTCTGCTAACGGTAAGCAGAGATAAGCAATCTGATTGTTTGATGCTTTGGGACACGATAACTTTGGTTATAATGAAGTGAGAGCGATGAAACTCAGAATATAGATTCATTATATCATTACCTTGACTAAGTTCAATGGTGAGAATTTTCTGCTTGCGCTAAGGAGCGATAAGCAATTTTATTGGTCAAGACTTTGGAACATAACAGTCTGCTTTCAATTGAGGTAGATTGGTTAAACTTGATGTAGATGTTCATTAGGTGAATGTCTTGACGTGAAGCTAAGTAGAACTAATCAATTTCATAGGTCAATGCTTTGGGACAAGATAATCTTGATTCTATCTGGTAAAGAGGGATGAAACTTAGTGTGCAGTTTGATTGCTTGATACTTTTGAAAAAAATAAATGTGCGATTAATTAATATGTGTCATCTATTTATTTTTGGATTTCGGCGGGGGACATCAGAGAGGCTTGTTTATTTTTTCAATTTTCGATCCTTTTCAAATTTGTTCAACATCCAAGTTTTCCTTTCAGATCAGCTGCAGTTGAGACACAGATACTGTGTGGGCGTATTCAGTACTGAACAGAAGTGATTCCAATAGCGCTAAAATGACGTGATCAGCTGCAGTTGAGACACAGATACTGTGTGGGCGTATTCAGTACTGAACAGAAGTGATTCCAATAGCGCTAAAATGACGCATCGAGACTTTAAGTGAATAAATGAAAATTACAGTAAGAATTGTTTATTTAGGTTATTGGTCAGTTTCTAGAATGGATTTAGTTTTGTTATTTAAATGAATTTAGATTAATTTGGATATAGTTATTACATTGATGGCTATAACACGACTTATTCTTGATGTCTCAAAATGTATACATCTCTTGATGTCTTGGCTTTATACATCTGAAAATAGACAAATAAAGACAAGTAGGTAAATATATAGAAATATTTAGATACAGCAATGTGTTCTTGCAAATGCGTGTTTTAAATGACAAATAGAAACTATTCCAGTAGTTATTATCTACATACAAATATATACAAGTAGTCTATTATTTATTTACTAATCTATATCAGTGGTTACCTGTATAAACATATAATACAACAGTTCATACCTGTGTAGGTAATGCTCAGGTTAAAACCAAGGCATGTAAAGATGGAATCTGTTTCGAATCTCACGGTGGTGTTTTCACCAGTTGGTACTATGATAGGGTCTGGCGGTGCCCCACCACAATAACTATAATATAAAAAATAAACCACTTCAGTTATTTGTATCATTGACGTTGAAAAAAACTTTTTTTGTCGGCAAATAAAGTGCCCGAAATCACACTACGTTTTGGTTTGAATCAATTGTGCATTATGCGATTGTTTTCCGGCATCGAGCATTATTTTCATTTAAGATCAGATTCTGTTCGGGAAGACGGGAATTTTTCATTATTTTTCTTTTTGTCTTCTAGTCATCAAATTTAAGAGTTTGAAATCTCATGACTATTTGATCTGGAAGCAATCTGTATTATGTCACAATTTTAGGGCATCGATCATTATTTGTGTCATAAGGTTTTTGGGAATAAAATGTTTAGAAATTAACTAAACCAGCGAGAATTAGTGTAATAAACAGTGTAGTCGCTCAGCTCAAAGCGCGACATGTTTCGGGCATCATCATTTATTTCATTAGAGAATTTTTTGATGCCATTTCCAGATGGATTATATTGGACCACTTTCAGGATGTCGTACTCACTTGCTAAAATTCATAAATTCCATGGGGGAGATGCCCCCCCCCCCCCCAACCAACACACATATCCCCGGGCTAATTACCAGCTTCCAGGAACTTGAGCGGAAAGGTGTCGGCCACTTTATTTCTACCCATCTCCCAACAAACACGGAATTCGGATGGTCGTCGTTGGATTTCGGTTCTAAAGCTAGACAAATAACGCTATCACTAATTTCTTGTTGCTTTACTCACTGGCTGGTATTGCAGTCAGGCGCTTTTGCTTTGCTATTTGTTTTGGGGTTTACTTATTTACCCGGTGGATGTAACTAGAAAATGTGGGGTTCTTATTGATAAGATAGATGGGATTACCTTACTCCCTGAAGCGTTAGATAATCTTTAATACATGTTGTAGATAGTTCGCCCCGGCATGTACTAATCACTATAAACCCATCAGTGAACTCAATGTTAAATTGTCCGCCAAGAGTTAAGGTGATATTCTGTTCAGGTCGGCCAATTACAAGATAGCAAATGGCGAAGTTGTTTGGATATTCAAGTGGATAATTCGGTGATGTTATAACTGAAATTATAAACAAAAAGTGATGGTTATAGTTTTAATTACATTTATAACAACATGGTCACTGTATCATACACGCCACATAGTGTCACTACTTCTAAACAAAATTTACGTGCTTCTAAAACAGCCCAATGGGTTGACATTAAATATACTTACTTTCATCATTTACAATATAAATACATCGACATTCAAATCCACCATCAACACGAAAACATGTATCCCCGATCTCGGTACAAGGACTCGGGTCACATAAATCTTCTACAAAATAATAAATACACAGCTAAGTAAAAAGTAACTAACAAGTGGATAAGACACAAGTTTGACAACTTAGAACGCCATCTCCAATATATATATTTACATAAACAAATAATCATAATAGAACACATTATATTTGTAATCAAATCTTTTTTACATATCTGAGTACGAAGAAAAGAAAAGAAAGAAAAATAATAATAGCAATGTAAGTGTAGAAACTACATGTATGTGAAATATTTAATTTTATAATAATTTCAAATTACACTATCAAAACTATTTCTCTTTAATTGTGTTGCGAATCAAGACAGACCCTTACATTCCACGTGAACTCATATTCTCAGATAGAAGTTCCAGATATGTGGAGATGTGGAGATTAATTATATCATTTAATTTACAGAAGTTTTATATAGTGTTTTGTCTGATTCGTGACTCAGATAACAAAGATGTGTGATCGTCCAACGAGCCTAGTAACTATCTTTAAACAAATAACTATAGGTAAATATATATCGCAAAAAATTCACACAAATGAGCATTATTTGATCTTGAAAAATGTCATTGAGAAAAGCGACCAGTATTTTTTATATACCTCTGAACATTAAAAAAAATATGCACGTTAGCTTCGCAGTTCAGTAAATCATTACCAAACAACAAAATATATATCAACATATAATAGTACATGTATATATCATCAAATTGTATCAGCTATCATGACGTCTCTGTGAATTTTATATTTTGAACAAGATAATAAGAAATGGTTTGCGTTTTCAATATATCCACATGAACAAGCAGAATTATCAACTACATTTGCATGAAATAAATCGCCATTTAAGGCACTGCATTTATTACGCATCCTGCAGCGTAAAATGTTTAAATATAGATCACCACATGAAAAATAAGTTGGAACATTTGCGTTTTGAAAATATACCGCACATAGCTTATTTTTAAAAAGAGAAAATGTTGGTAATTGTCTCAATTGTAAATCCAAAGAGTTCCACAATTTAATAGTGAGCGGATTTTTTTTTTTTTTTTTTTTGGGGATATGCAACCATCTGATAAGACTCTGAATCTGATATTGGGAGTTACGAAGATAATAATTGTTATTTTGTGATACCATATCTGGTACAAGGTCTGTAAAATATTGAGGTGTCTGCTCATTTACAATTTTATAGAATAATGACAATTTCCTAACAAGCCTCCGAGTTTCCCACCCCGACTCTTTATAAATGGATTCTAAACGAGCATAACTTGTTAAGCCCGTAACAATTCGACCTGCTTCGATTTGGAGCTTTTCTAAACGCTCGGAGTTGACTTTTCCATAATTGTCCCACACTTCAGATGAATATTCTAATATTGGCCTGATAAATGTTAAGTACATTTTTTCCAAGTATTCCCTCTTTAATTTATATTTTAGTTTTCTTAAAATGCTTAACTGTTTCGGGGCATTGCCAATCAATTTATCAATATGATTAGTTAATTTACAGTCGCTACTGAAGATAATTCCTAAATGTTTATTGACAGGTTTTAGTGTCAGATTGATTTTAACCAGCCACTTTTTTGACCACTCATTTAAATATATTAAATCTAAATTAATTATATTTTTTAAAGTGCTGTAATTAGTATCGTCTGCAAAACGTCTACCTAATCCTACTGTACCGTCGGTAATGTCATTGATAAATATAAGAACCAGCGGCTGCCAGGCAGGATACGCCCACATTTTGCAAGAGATGGATAGAGAACAAGCTAAAAACAAAAGGGATTTTTTGTACAATCAGGGGCAATAATCCATAAAGTTATGGTCTGAAATGCGCAAATATCAAAAGGCACTGAGATCTTTGGGATATAAAGATATGTTTTAAGTTTCATCAGAATCGGATCAAAATTGTGACCTCTAGAGGGTCGACAACCATCGTATTGCATACTTTTACACAATTTGCATACAAATAGCGGCCATTTTGTTGGACAGTTTCATTACGATTTTCCCGAAATTCGAATCCAGCCTTCATTATGGTGGAATGGTGAAATATTTAAACGGTTTTTAAAATCGGAAAAAAAATGGTGACCTCTAGAGAATCCGCGAGCTAAAATTGACATTTTTCGAACAATCAGGGGCCATAACCCAGGAAGGTTTCCGCGATAATCAAAAGGATCCAAGATCTTAGTGTGTAATGGTGATATATTCAAACATTGTTTTTCATTAGATGAAAATTGTGACCTCTACAGGGACCACAAGCTAAAAACGTGATTTTTTGTTCAATCAAGGGCCATAATTCAGGAACTGACGGTCCGATATGCACGAATATCGAAAGGAACCGAGATCTTTGGGTTATAAACTTAATTTCCAAGTTTCATCAGAAATCAGAAGAAAATTGTGACCTCTAGAGGGTCCACAACCTTGATATACCATATTTTTTACGCTATTTGAGAACGAGGACGGCCATTTTGTCTGTCAGTTTTGGGCCATTTTTACGAAATTCGAACTCAGCCATTCTTAGTGTGTAACGGTGATATACTAAACCAGTTTTTTAAATTGGATACAAATTTTGACCTCTATACTATAGGGTCCACAAGATAAAAACGCGATTTTTCTTACAATCAGGGGGTATAATTCAGGAAGTTACGGTCCGATATGCGCGAATATCGAATGGAACCAAGATCTGTGGGTTACAAACCTATTCTTTAAGTGGCATTTAGCGATCAGGGAACAAATTAACAGAACACAGTTTTTATGGGATACAATCACTAGTTTATTCTAAAAGCACGACGTTTCGACAAGTATCCTCTTATCGTTATCAAGCACAAATGACAATTTAGTAAACTTGTGGACAATATATATGAAATTAATAAGAAACCATCTGTATGGATTAAGAATAACAGTAATAGAAATAATCAAGGTGTAAAGGATATTTAACAATAACAACAAACATAACAAGGTAATTAGCTACTAATAAGCACTGATACTGCATGATTAGAGGGTTATTAACAGGTTGGGAGAGTCTATAATATCGAAAATTTATTGATGGGGTGGGGCGGGGATTTTAGTACAACCAAAGATGGCTTAATAGTTAAATTATGTTGTTCATCTTAATTACATCATCATATGCCCTGGGGATGTAGAGCCCTAAGTCCCTATTGAGTTCAGGTGAATGTCTTCTGATATTTATAGCTTCTAGGATCTTCCTGGTTTTCTTGTTCTGTTGGTTGGCGGTTAGTACCTGGTCCGCCATCTTGGTTCATTAGAGCCTTTGTTCAAATTCGATAGAATAAGTTGGATAACTATTTTCCTTGGTGTTCTTCAATTTGTTTACATCAAACAGACAACCACCCAATTACCTATACAGAATCTATTTATAACTGGTATAAATTGACACTGTTATTTATGTCTAAAACTCATTTTCCTCAACATTTGCACGAGCCAGATTTATCAAGCCTTCATACCCAAGGGCGCATAACTCATCTATCCGATTTGTGACAACCTTGATCGTCTAGGAATAGCTGGCGTGGATACTGTCTGTTGGGACTCAGTAGTCTTGGACTTCACGTTATTTCTGTAATTATGGCTACCGAAATCAGGCGAAACATGTAGACAATTAAATAATAGTAATTTCTTTAGGCATTTTAACCTTTATTTATTATATTATGCAAATATTTATATATAGGTTTTTATACCGAAGAAGATTATATAGTGTACAGACATAGTACCAGCTTACCTTGACAAAAGGACCCTTCAAATCCAAGAGGACAGCTGCAACTCACGCCACCTTCTGATGGATAACACGTACCATCATTTAAACAGGGGTTGTTGATATCACATGGGTTAACTAAAATTAAATTTAAAAAATGTAGACCTCACATATATTAGTAATAATGCATATTAGATACTGAGTGACCTAATTCCAATTGTTAATTATAGCATAATGTAATATGGATATGGGTCATTCCATGTCAAGGGGACCAAATTCTGAGAAAGCTGTAAAGTGACCTCCTCTGAAAATTTATAAAAAAAAACATATATGTTATAGTACACACAGTCTTATGTAAAACTATATGACTCTAGTATTAATATGGCCATTTGAATCGGATACCCTTTCGCAAGTTTTGAAACGACTGGTATATGGCTCGATTTTAGTGTTCTGATTTTATATACCCTAGATAGACAATATTCTTGAAATTAAGGGGTTTGTAAGAGAATGTTATATCGATTGTTTTTTGCACAAGTATCACATTTTGGCACTTAAGGTACCCCATACGCAGTTGATGGTACTTTTCCTGTAAACTGTGATTGTAAATTCTTAATCTACATAACATTTTCTTACAAACCCCATAATTTCAAGAACATAAACTGGCTAGAAGGAATAAAATCAGATCACAAAAATCGAGTCATATCAATATTAATACTAGAGTCATCTAACTTTACAGTTTTACATAAGACTCTATGTACTGTAACATATTTGTTTTCATAATTTTCTGAGGGGGTCACTTACAAGCACTGGTCCGGGTGAAATGGTCATATTAATACTAGAGTCATATAACTTTACAGTTTTACATAAGACTCTATGTACTATAACATATTTGTTTTCATAATTTTCTGAGGGGGTCACTTACAAGCACATGTCCAGGTGAAATGGAATGACCCATATTTCTTCGTGACCTAGAAATTATCAGTGGTGACTGTAAAAAGTAGGCTACTGGTGAGGATATGACATTACCAAGTAAGTATAGTGACATCCTACATTCTGATCCATGCCTTAAAATTATTCATATCAATTCTGTATAGCATGTTAGTGAACTTATCAAACAAACAAGAGAGAGAGAGAGAGATGGGGTTTAACGTCCACTCGACACAAACTAGGTCATTTCGGGACTAACATATGGTTTAATTTTATTTCAATCATTCGCTTGCGCGTAGGGGTCTTTAGCAGTGGGAGGAAACCGGAGGGCCCGGAGAAAACCCACGAGGTTGGACAGGCGACTCTATTCCTTGTCACGTACCACCGGGGAATCGGAACCCCGAAGGTTGACTCAATGACAGACCGTATGATACAGCACGCGCGTGCTAACCATTCGGCCATCCAACCCCCCTTAATCAAACAAAGTTATGTGATACATTGTTTGAGCAAGATAACATGGACCTATTATAACAATTATAATGTAACTAGTTAATTCAGGTGTAATGAGTTAACTCAGATGTAATGAGTTTATTCAGATATAACGAGTTAACTCAGATGTAATGAGTGGATTCTCATGTCAATCTAATCTAGTGTCAACCAAGACTGCACCCTGAGTCCTTTTCTTTTCCTAAAATGAACTTGTCTGCTTGTTAATCAAAGCATGCTAAATTATTATGACAATAATGAATGTAAGTACCTTACCATCACAGTTTTCTCCTAAATATCCTGTAGGACAATTACAGCTGTAACCGTTATCAACTGGTGAACAAGTACCACCATTTTTACATGGGTCGGGTAGACACAGATTCACTAGAATTAAAGATAGGTAGCCAGGCAAGAAAACATACGCCCACAGCAACTAAATCGTCCAGGCAGTCAACAAGGGTTGTCGCATATTTTTACTTTTTTCGGTAATGAAACATTTATAATACACTAAAATCTGATTAAGAGCAACAATTCACGACGTACAATCAGAAAACTATTAGAATTTGTTTGGTTTTATAAAGTTCTGCCCCATGCTAACGTTTTGTATGCAAAGCTTTTAATATCATGGATTTAACTGTTCAAGTCATAAAAATTCATTGAAAATCAATATACTTGTTCGTCTCAAGATCTTAAACTCTGTATATCAATCTGAAGTCAATCGGATGATAACTTTAGCCTTTAGAGCGTCACAAGATTTTGCAAAGTGATCAAGGGCCATAACTTTGGCAGTAATTATCGGAAATCGTTAAAAATCAATAGGAATCTTCGTCTCATGACCTCAAACACTGTGTATAAATTTATACTCAATCGGATATTAACTTTAGCCTCTAGAGCATCCACAAATGAACTTGTCTGCTTGTTAATCAAAGCATGCTAAATTATTATGACAATAATGAATGTAAGTACCTTACCATCACAGTTTTCTCCTAAATATCCTGTAGGACAATTACAGCTGTAACCGTTATCAACTGGTGAACAAGTACCACCATTTTTACATGGGTCGGGTAGACACAGATTCACTAGAATTAAAGATAGGTAGCCAGGCAAGAAAACATACGCCCACAGCAACTAAATCGTCCTGGCAGTCAACAAGGGTTGTCGCATATTTTTACTTTTTTCGGTAATGAAACATTTATAATACACTAAAATCTGATTTAAGAGCAACAATTCACGACGTACAATCAGAAAACTATTATAATTTGTTTGGTTTTTATAAAGTTCTGCCCCATGCTAACGTTTTGTATGCAAAGCTTTTAATATCATGGATTTAACTGTTCAAGTCATAAAAATTCATTGAAAATCAATATACTTGTTCGTCTCAAGATCTTAAACTCTGTATATCAATCTGAAGTCAATCGGATGATAACTTTAGCCTTTAGAGCGTCACAAGATTTTGCAAAGTGATCAAGGGCCATAACTTTGGCAGTAATTATCGGAAATCGTTAAAAATCAATAGGAATCTTCGTCTCATGACCTCAAACACTGTGTATAAATTTATACTCAATCGGATATTAACTTTAGCCTCTAGAGCATCCACAAATGAACTTGTCTGCTTGTTAATCAAAGCATGCTAAATTATTATGACAATAATGAATGTAAGTACCTTACCATCACAGTTTTCTCCTAAATATCCTGTAGGACAATTACAGCTGTAACCGTTATCAACTGGTGAACAAGTACCACCATTTTTACATGGGTCGGGTAGACACAGATTCACTAGAATTAAAGATAGGTTGCCAGGCAAGGAAACATACGCCCACAGCAACTAAATCGTCCAGGCAGTCAACAAGGGTTGTCGCATATTTTTACTTTTTTCGGTAATGAAACATTTATAATACACTAAAATCTGATTAAGAGCAACAATTCACGACGTACTTATCAGAAAACTATTAGAATTTGTTTGGTTTTTATAAAGTTCTGCCCCATGCTAACGTTTTGTATGCAAAGCTTTTAATATCATGGATTTAACTGTTCAAGTCATAAAAATTCATTGAAAATCAATATACTTGTTCGTCTCAAGATCTTAAACTCTGTATATCAATCTGAAGTCAATCGGATGATAACTTTAGCCTTTAGAGCGTCACAAGATTTTGCAAAGTGATCAAGGGCCATAACTTTGGCAGTAATTATCGGAAATCGTTAAAAATCAATAGGAATCTTCGTCTCATGACCTCAAACACTGTGTATAAATTTATACTCAATCGGATATTAACTTTAGCCTCTAGAGCATCCACAAATGAACTTGTCTGCTTGTTAATCAAAGCATGCTAAATTATTGTGACAATAATGAATGTAAGTACCTTACCATCACAGTTTTCTCCTAAATATCCTGTAGGACAATTACAGCTGTAACCGTTATCAACTGGTGAACAAGTACCACCATTTTTACATGGGTCGGGTAGACACAGATTCACTAGAATTAAAGATAGGTTGCCAGGCAAGGAAACATACGCCCACAGCAACTAAATCGTCCAGGCAGTCAACAAGGGTTGTCGCATATTTTTACTTTTTTCGGTAATGAAACATTTATAATACACTAAAATCTGATTAAGAGCAACAATTCACGACGTACTTATCAGAAAACTATTAGAATTTGTTTGGTTTTTATAAAGTTCTGGGGATCACGTGGCTAATTGGGTAAGACGCTAGCTCGCTAGCCTGGAGGTCGGGTGTTCGATCCCTGCATTGGCCGAGAAAGTTCATCCAGATTTTCCGGCGTGGTTCTCCCTTGTCAGTGATGCAGGACGGAGGGGCTGACAAGGAAAGCTGTCTAGTCGTTCGGATGGGACGAAAAACCGAGGTCCCGTGTACACATTGGCGTGCACGTAAAAGATCCCTTGGCAGTTGGAATTCGATATAAGAGTAGGCCGTAGTGCCGCTGTCCGGGCAAAATTTCCCTCATAGCACACTGTATGGCGTATGCCCGTCTTCATTAGCCCAGGTTAGGAGCAGAACAGTAGGACGTTAAACTCCATTTCATTTCATTTCATTTCATTTATAAAGTTCTGCCCCATGCTAACGTTTTGTATGCAAAGCTTTTAATATCATGGATTTAACTGTTCAAGTCATAAAAATTCATTGAAAATCAATATACTTGTTCGTCTCAAGATCTTAAACTCTGTATATCAATCTGAAGTCAATCGGATGATAACTTTAGCCTTTAGAGCGTCACAAGATTTTGCAAAGTGATCAAGGGCCATAACTTTGGCAGTAATTATCGGAAATCGTTAAAAATCAATAGGAATCTTCGTCTCATGACCTCAAACACTGTGTATAAATTTATACTCAATCGGATATTAACTTTAGCCTCTAGAGCATCCACAAATTTTTTTGAAGTGATCAAGAGCCATATACAGTAATTATCGGAAATCGCTGAAAATCAATAGGATTCTTCCTCTCATGACCGTAAACACTGTGTATAAATTGAAAGTCAATCGGATGTTAACTCTGGCCTCTAGAGCGGCAAAAAGATTTTTCATAGTGATCAAGGGCCATAACTCTGGCAGCAAATATTGGAAATCGCGGAAAATCCATAGGCTTCTTCGTCTCAAGACCTTAAACACTGTGTATAAATTTAAAGTCAATCAGATATTAACTTTAGCCTCTAGAGCGTCCACAGGCAATCGTGGACGCGGGACCGACGGACGGGGGCGACGACAATATACGACCACATTTCAATGTGGGCGTATAAAAAGGCACAAGTAATATAAACATGTTGGCCGGTTTCTCTATAAAGATTAATTCTCTAAATTTCTCAAGTTAATTTTTTGAGTAATAATATTCTTATTGCTTATCAATACTTTTCAACCAAATTCTTAAACCTGGTCATCAACAAGCACATGCCCTGATCGTCAACAACTGAACCTATTTAACACTCGGCGGCCTTGGTCAAATCGGCAGGTGGTCTTAATAATTGGATTTAGATAACATGCGCAGTTCACAATCTAGTCCCGTGCGTTTACCTGTAGTGTTTATTGGGTTAGTTTCCGATTTTCTGTTCGACTTCCATTCATGGATAATCGAGACTATGTTTATTTTATCGTGCCGTCTTTAGTAATGATGATCGAGGCTAGGCCGACAATTCAATAGCTAAAGTTTCGGTTCAGAGTGGATCAATTTCACTGAAATTTTCAGTAAATTTCCTTTACATTATCTAGCTTTAAACTATTATAGTAAGAACTGCCAGCTATTTACCTAATACCCAAAATGTATCTTTAATCCAAATAGTGCATGTGTTATAATTACAATATTCCCCTTAATCACAACAGTGTCTTACAATTCTTACAATTACAATTAATTACACCATCATATTGCTTACAATTTCTAGTAATTACAACAGCATATGGCTTACAATTACAATATTTCTATTAATTACAACAGCATATGGCTTACAATTACAATATTTCTATCAATTACAACAGCATATGGCTTATAATTACAATATTTCTATTAATTACTAAAGCGTATGTCTTACAATTAAAATACTACAGCGTATGGCTTACGATTAAAAAATTAACATTAAATAAAACTTTTACATTAAACCTAATAATGTATGGATTACAATTACAATATGAACAGTAATCATAATAATGTATTAATTAAAAATACAATATTTGCCTTAATTACAACAGTGCACCAGTAACCCCAATTTCATTTCAATTCATTTCAGTACAACTCAATTCCACATCATCCTGGGCAGTTGCTACAATAGAAATGTCGACCAAGGTTTATGTTTATGTTACCACCCCCACCCCTTCACGTGGCAAAGTGGGTAAGACCCTAGCTCGCTAGCCTGGCGGTCGGGTGTTCGATCCCTGCATTGGCCGAGAAAGTTCATCCAGATTTTCCGGCGTGGTTCTCCCTTGTCAGTGATGCAGGAAAGCTGTCTAGTCGTTCGGATGGGACGAAAAACCGAGGTCCCGTGTACACATTGGCGTGCACGTAAAAGATCCCTTGGCAGTTGGAATTCGATATAAGAGTAGGCCGTAGTGCCGCTGTCCGGGCAAAATTTCCCTCATAGCACACTGTATGGCGTATGCCCGTCTTCATTAGCCCAGGTTAGGAGCAGAACAGTAGGACGTTAAACTCCATTTCATTTCATTTCATTTCCAAAAGCGCATTCTTAAATCTGTGTCTAAATGGGTCGAATTGGCCAATATCCAAAATCGCCGCCAGTTTTTGCCAGAAAATGCAAATTTTTTTATCTAATTATTATAATGTGACCAAGTTTTGTATTAAAATATATCCTTTCGAGACAGCTAAATCCATTTCCATGCACATTTTGGTGATTAGTTATACAGCGGAGTAAATATTGGGGAATGATTCCAGATGGCGGGAAATTCGAATTTTACAAAATGATCACATTTTGGTGTCAAAATATACGTTTTTGAGGTAGCCGATACCAGTTTTGATAAAGGGTCAATCCCAATAGAAATTAGGGGACTAAGGATTCTCGAGTCTGCCTCAGATCTTATACGATTGCATTCATCAAGCATCAACTAAATTTCATTTAGATTCTCTGGCCTCACTCTCACCTCACAGTGGAAGCAGCGTAGCAGGCATGACGAAAGGGGCCACTCTCAGCTCTATATGGGTATAATACTATAGGGTTTATTTTAGTATTAAAAACGGTGTTCTGTTTAATATAGAAATTCTTCACCTAAATGATGTGTGACGAAAGCTAGGGTAGTGAAGTAGCTTGCATTATTTTACTACTATCTTAGACCAACTTACCGACAGTTATGTCAGTATCCATTGCTGGAAGTAGGGTACTATAGTCCAGTCATCTCGTGCACGGATTAGTACAAATAATTATTAGCGGTATTTTCTATCAACAAATTGAGCCATACAAATAATGTTCGGACCATCACGTGACAAATTGCAGATCTACAAATTAGATTATTTATTTGGAACATGATATTGTTCATAGTTATGGTTTACTATACTGGAGTTCTATAGTGAATAATAAAAGCTTCCCAAGCGAAAAAAAACCATAACAATGTCACGTGACAATATTACATATTACGAATAAAAGCGTTCTTTGATTACATGCTGTTTGGTTTGAATATTAAATAACACGGCAATCTGTATTTATGGGGAAAAGAGAATGAATGTCCCCAATTCCAAAAATAGATGACTGGAATATTTATTGAATGGAAAGTGAATATTTTATAAACAAAATTCTTCGGATTTGTAGTTTTCTAGCTTTGGTGTATTTGTGATTTGAATCCATGTAACGAGGACAGTAAACAATTCGATGACGGTAAACTTTTATAGGGTATAGGCCCTATTTATATTAGCTTCTCGTCACATATCTGTATTATGATACTGCTTGTGAACTATACATATATCAGCCATCGCGTTTTCCATAACTTCATTTGGGATTTGCTAGGCAAAACTCGGTGTTTTATACATTTTACTATAAAATTGTAATAAATGTTTTACATCAATGAATAAAATAAAAAATAAAATCTACAAATTAAAACAGTACAATAACATTAGGATTTGACGCCCTACAAATCACTAAAAGTATAACAATTGTTTGTTGAATAAGCGTTACTAATACGTTTTTTTTTCCAATGGGGAAAACCTCCTGGACTATGTTCTTCTGTTGTATTTAAGTTATTATTTTTTAAAAATAAATTCAAAAGAACGCGTCTTTACAAATTTCAATATAACCACAAATAAGTGATTATACTGATGCACACTGTCATACACGATGCTAAGATGGGTATTAATGGTTTATATTTGAAAATCATATTATACAATAGAAAAATATTAAAATATATCTTTAAACAACGCCCTTCTCAATTACTGCTTCGGGGAATATCATTTGATAATTTAGATGATCAGCATTAAACACCTCTGTGCCGTTATGCTATCAATTGACCTTTCCGTCAGAAACCTGTAGCTCCTCCCACTTTTTATAATGACGTCACCTTAGAAAACATTGACGCGCCTTTGACATTTACAAGCATGGCGATGGCTGAACGACGTTCAATCTTGTCACGTCTTATGCCAATCTTTTGGACTTTCCCGCTAATTTCTTGGAATATTTTTGAAAGAAAAGTGTATTGTTAGTTTGAAGTAAAGAAGCAGGGCCCCAGGTACTACAATGAATGATATTTTTCTGACGCCATCCTGTTTTAGGCGATTGACGGATCTTGAAGCATCAATCATTATATGACACAAGCCACGATAAGATGTAGAACTTTAGATGAAAAGGCAGTTAAATTTAAATTATTTTTTTCCAATTCTTTGGGGGTCAAAAACTTGTATTAATAATTCATCTTTCAAATTTTGTAATGAAAAAGAGAACTTATCGTTCTGTTTTTATGCAAATACATATTTTGCGGACCATGCGACCTTGTAATCGACGTCACATGTCCAATTAATATTTGCCCCAAATTTGCTAATAAATACCGGCCCAGTTGATTTGCAGTGTGATAATATCAAAATCTACATTTTTGAATGTAAAGATATGTCTTTGTGCCCTGTTACCCCAAGATATTGGCAAGGATCTTTCCTGGACATCAGCTGGTTTCAAAACAGTGTGAAATTTCCCAACTGATAACTCTTCTACACTCTTTCTTGGGCATGATTTCATTGTTATTCTTAGCCGATATGTTACAATATTTGATCAATGATTATTTTTTTATTAAATTTTACTGCCCTGTACTGTTTTGTCAATATTATACAAAATATTTGTAACGGAAGTGACTCCCTACTATGTAACGGACGTGACCTTTTGTAACGGACGTTACTGTTGACCCAATTAAAAGTGCTAGGTGTATCTGAGTACAATGTAGGTGTTTAACGCTCTTTTCCATTCTTAGTTTAAGGACATTTAAAAAGAAGGCAATTTATGTAATTTAATAAAGACTCGTAATTTTCTTTAGGTTATCTTAGCTTCTTTGTGTAACGTTAGTGATGTTTGACATTATGAATTTCGTCCACCATCACATCCGTTACACGTCAAACCGAAGGTCAAACTGTTATCAATCAAATTTGCGTGATTCTTTTATTTATTTCGATTACCAGAATGTGAGGAACGGCTCTTGATTTTGAGCGCAAAACAGACGGCTTTGGCATCTCCTCAGTTTTTGTCAAATTCTTGTAATAATATAACGGACGTGATTTGGGCATAACGGACGTGATTTTGATATAACGGACATGACGACAACAAAAGTTTGAGGACGGAATTTCCGTATCGTGTCCCCCATTCTTAATTACCCGCAAAATCGTGAGGTATACGAACAGTGTGTAGAACAAGGGAGCTAATAACTGCGGAGGAGCCATGGATTTAAAACGGGACGGGAAATATCGATCATCATAAACGCAAATAACGGGCGTGATTCTTTGACGGAATAGTTTCTTCTCAAACGTCTCTAGATCAACATAAATACTTACATCATATCACTCAAGTATGCCTCTTCATTTGTAACATAAACATACATATATAGATACAGGTGGTGAGCCACTCTTTCAATGCAATAAAAAACGTCTGTTACACGTGCCATTATTTAAACAATGGTTGCATATATCACAAGGATTTACTAAAATTAAATTAAAGAAATGTAGACCTCACGGTTCATTCCCACGAAGGCGCAGTTATTGACCGTAACGGATTAAAAGAGGTCATATTCGACGTGTTCGTGGGAATCCAGCTTTCATGGATTAAAATGAATTAAAAATGTAATAATGGAGTTATAGATTGTTATGATAAGAATTTACAATTTCATAATCCCCAATGTGACTAATTAACTAACATTTTAACATGTTTGGCATATGACGTTAATAAATATAAACAAATTTAATTTCCCCAAATAAGACACCCTGTCTTAATTCCTCTTCTTCGTGTCTACTTTTTAATTCCTGGAGTTGGCTTTAGATTTGGGCATATTTATATCTCTTCCTTGGTGGTTTCTGTTCCCCGACATACTGTACGATTCTAATTTAATTAATATTTTGCTCTTGTAAAATGAGATCATATCAAAAACATTTCGGATGAACTTTAACAACTAGCTTCTTGATCCTTGAATGCCATTCTTCCAGGGTGTTGTTGATTTTGTGTTCCCCTGTGTGGTAGTGGTTCCACTGATGAGGAGCATGTTCATCCTCCCCCTTTGGTTGTTTACGTAGTCGGCCAATTCAGTTATTTTTGGATCTGATTGAGAGTGGGCGAATATGTGAACAATACTTGAATGATCTGATGATTTTCATCATTAGTTGCCAATTGGTGAGTAAAATTCAGAGTGAACACTACTTGGATGATGTTATGATATTCATCATTAGTTGCCAAATGGTAAATAAAATTCAGAGTGAACATAAATTCATTAAATCTCTAACACCGTTAATTGGGTCCTAATAACAACATGCCTTTCTTCAAACGAAAGCCGATAAGTCCATATCCGTGCCTTCGTGGGAAGTCCATATCTGCGCCTTCGTGGGAAGGATTAATTTTGGTCACGCTCTGTAACGGCGCCGTAGTGGTAATACACTGACCTCACACACGTTAGTAATCATGTATGTGAGACAGTGAGTTATCATAATTCCAAATGTTAAGTATGGCATAATGTAATATGGATATTTCTTAACGGGTTAGAAATTATCAGAGATTTAAGTAAAATAATGAATGCAACAAGTACTGGTGATGATATGATACCCATTGAGATTTATAAATTCGCGGCATGATATCTAATTCAATTTCCTGAATCCTGATCTTTTTGCGTTAAAGAAGGGGCAGCTCAAGCTGAGTCCAGTAAAGTAACAGTGAATGTGAACCGGACCGCCTCGTCTTGTGTAAATATGTACTAGTAACTGTAATTATATATGAGTTTTATCGATTTCATGTACGCCTCTGTGGGAATTAATCGATACATTGTTAGAGCATTATCACATGGCCACATGAAAACAATGTTTTATTCAGATGTAATAGATAAATTCTTATGTTAATCTGGTGTCGAACAAGGCTGCATCTTAATTTAAAGATTTAATTCAGATGTAATGGGCGAATTCTTACGTTAATCTGGCGTCAAATAAGGCTACACCCCGAGTCCTTTGGGGCTTGATTTGTTCATAATGAGCTTGTTGGCTGGTCAATTAAGGCTGACTAAATTATTATGACAATAAAGAATGTACGTAACTTACCGTCACAGTTTTTTCCTAAATATCCTATAGCACAATTACAGCTGTAACTGTTATCAACTGGTGAACACGTTCCATTATTCTTACATGGGTTAGGTAGACACACATTCACTGCAATTAAATATGCTCACTATTTCCCTATACTTAATTTTTGGAGTAATAATATTTTGATTTTGCTTGTAAATACCGAATCGGTCTAAGCAACCATAATGATAAACAAAATCACGTGGTTTAGCTACTCGTGCATATTCGAAAGCAAATTACAACGATGACAGGCGAGTTTGCAATCCAGGATCCTTTACCGAAATGGTTCCATGTATATCTGTAAATGCAATCAATTTAAACCCATTTTCTCCCCCTCTCTCGGGGAAATTATTGATACGATATACAATATATCTTTCCATCACAGTTTTCTCCTAAATACCCAGGAGTACAACTACAGCTGTAACCGTTATCAACCGTTGAGCACGTACCATTATTTTTACATGGATTTGGGGTACACCGTTACACATTAATTACTTGGTAAATGTTATAAAGGATTGGAACAAACTTTTCAACTGGCACCGTAGTAAACATATTTGTCTACCACAATGCAGTTCATTTTGAAATAGGTTAATAAATAGAAAAGTGTTCTTTAATCTTTGCACCCACTAAAGAATATCATTGCCGGAGTGCGAGAATGGTTAATCAAACATGTTACGTTTTTCTCGTCGTGTCCCAAGGGCACCAGTTTGTCCGAGGGCTCAGAGCTACCCAGTCCGCCCCTACAAACAATGGACGTCTCTTAGGATTTTTTGTCTTTAATTTGATAAAGCCTGGTAGCCGTTATATTATATAGGTCGACAGTCCACCTAACAGGTACTTGAAGAGATTAACATTTCTTACATTATCTTGTCTAGCATACTACAATATCGAGGGTTTAGAACATAATTGTGATAAGTCACAATGCCTGATATATTGACTTATCACAATAATGTTCTATACCCTCGATATATACAAAGTATATCACGCGCTAGAGTGCCGCGCTTCGACCTCTAGCTGGCCGGTTACCTCTAGCTTGCGGTTGTGGTTTCGATCCCTGGTGTGAGCGTATGTGCCTTGGAAATAGGGACGCCTTCTCAACCTCGTGTGTTTACTCCTCGACTAGTCAAATTTTCGTTAAATCAGAATGTTAGAAGCATTTCTTAGTAAAAGTGGGGAACATCACTTTTCTTAATGATTTTGATGTGCTGAATACGTCTATCCATGTTCCCAAGCCGACATTTTAGTTTTTGACCTTCTAATTAACATAAATACAAAATGGCCGCCAAATGCTGTTAGATTGTCAGCTATCTCGTTAACTATCGACTTTTGGGCCTATAAATGTATTACAGACATATAGGAAGTCGACCCCAATAAATCCAAAAATGATGTCATTATGCCCCTGTGACGTCATACCCAAGATGGCAGCCATATTGATCAAAATTGTGTCTTGATGTCCTTTTCCTTTTGGTTATTTGTGGATGTCTACCAATGTAGTATTCGTTTCTATCTGACAACGGGTGTTGATAAAGGGCATTTATATAGATGACGTCACAGTCGTATGGCGTCATTGTCTCGTAGTAGTTGTCTTTCTTATCGCGTGTTCACCGGATATAGTACTTGACTGCATAAAATTTGCCAAATGTTTTTATTGTATAATTGTGACCACATCTCCAGCTTTACCTGAGCAATAAGGCTCCTTCCCAAACACAGAATTAAACCCGGGAAATGTTCTCAAAAAGACAACCTGACTTCTGAGATGGCAATGTGTTCTCCATGATTTTGATGTAACTCATGCTGCACGTGCTTTTCACCGGGACCAGCCCTATAAAATTCAGCCCCCATACCTGGTTGAAACATTCACACTACAACGTCATCAGCATGCCACAACTCACGACAGCCCAGAGAAACCAGGCGCATTGAAGAGTCGACGCTGGCCACACTGCCCAAGCCGTTGCCAATCACTTCCAGGTCAGTGTTCGAACCATCTACAGGCTTCAGCAACGCTTTCGGGCCCCCCCCCCCAACACCACGGATGATCGCCCCCCGACCAGGTAGACCAAGAGTTACCAAATGGCGATAAGACCGCCATGTTGTGCGACAGCACGTGCAGCATCCCTTCACACAGGCATCTGAGACAGCACGTCAGACAGTAGGAACACATGGAAGACCCATCAGTACCGATACAGTGCGCCGACGTCTCACCAGAGAGAACATCCACTGCCGTAGACCTCACCGTGGACACATCTTCACCCCTCGCCATCGACGTGAACGTCTAGAGTTTGCCCAACAACACCAGAACTGGTGAGCCACGCAATGGAGAACTGTCAGATGACAGGACCAGAATATGGTGTCGAAGTGGCCAGCGTTGCTCTGACCAATGTGTCATGGAACGTGACTCATGGGGTGGTCCAAGCATAATGGATTGGGGTGGAATCGGCCTGTACTAGAAAGTGTATCCTAGGATGTTCCAAAATGTTGGTCCAGGGAGAGGAGGCGGCATCACAGCAGTGTGCTACATCGATCAAGCTCTCAGACCCCACGTCATACCACATTTGGCACGTCATCGCGAGACAACGTTTTCCAGCATGACAACGCCTGTGCCCACACGTTTTACAGCAGAACGACGTCAACGTTATGCACTGGTCAGCCCTTAGTCCGGACTTAAACTGTTTTAGGCGATTGACGGATCTTGAAGCATCAATCATTATATGACACAAGCCACAATAAGATGTAGAACTTTAGATGAAAAGGCAGTTAAATTTAAATTATTTTTTTCCAATTCTTTGGGGGTCAAAAACTTGTATTAATAATTCATCTTTCAAATTTTGTAATGAAAAAGAGAACTTATCGTTCTGTTTTTATGCAAATACATATTTTGCGGACCATGCGACCTTGTAATCGACGTCACATGTCCAATTAATATTTGCCCCAAATTTGCTAATAAATACCGGCCCAGTTGATTTGCAGTGTGATAATATCAAAATCTACATTTTTGAATGTAAAGATATGTCTTTGTGCCCTGTTACCCCAAGATATTGGCAAAGATCTTTCCTGGACATCTGGTTTCAAAACAGTGTGAAATTTCCCAACTGATAACTCTTCTACACTCTTTCTTGGGCATGATTTCATTGTTATTCTTAGCCGATATGTTACAATATTTGATCAATGATTATTTTTTTATTAAATTTTACTGCTCTGTACTGTTTTGTCAATATTATACAAAATATTTGTAACGGAAGTGACTCCCTACTATGTAACGGACGTGACCTTTTGTAACGGACGTTACTATTGACCCAATTAAAAGTGCTAGGTGTATCTGAGTACAATGCAGCAAAACCTACTTTGAAATATATTCAAAAAGAATGCGTCCTTTACAGATTTCAATATAACCACAAATGGTTGATTGTTTTAATGCTTAGATAAGTATTAATGGTTTGTATTTGAACATCAAATTATATAAGCGAAAAATAGTAAGATACTACTTCGGCGAATATCATTTGATAATTTAGATGATCAGAATTAAACACCGTTTTGCTATGTTATTATTTTTTTATGATTTGGTGGGGGTATACTAAATTAGGGGATTGGATTGAAAGATTATAGCTACCATCTTATGGAGACATAATGTGTGGTAAGTGTTAATTTAACTAGATATCAGAAAAGTACCATGTTTTCATGAATTTTCTGACGACTAACGTACTGTTTAGATAAATTGTACAATATTTATCAGTTCACTAGTTACAATAAAATCATGCATTATAGCTATTTTTATTTATTTATCCCTGGTGCTTCAAATTCAATTCAGGGTGCCTCAACATATTTAAAAATATGTTTTAAAGCTTTAGGTCATTTTATTATATCTTTCTACCATAAATAATAGCCGGATTTAAGTATACCAAAAGTTAAAGAAGAAATATAACCAGTTTTTGAGTCATTCAGATATGACTGCCAAAATTGTCATAAGCACGCATGTTTTTAGGCTAAAGTCTAACCAGAAAACTTAGTGTCAATACATTATTAAATTTTATATTCCATTAATCAATTCCATTCCGCCATTGGTTTGTCTTAAACTCGTCATTTGTGTTCATGGGCATCAGGGTCGAGATGGCAACGTTATATGTTTTATTCCTCTAATTTACTATAAAACACCATTCGGTTCGCGTCACGGGTTAACGGCATATTAATAGCTTTATTCACTGAGATGGTTCCTTTACTTGTGGTTTATTTTTCGAATTGCTTTTTGTATTTATTTACAAAGGTTAAAAATTTAAATGGAAATATTTAAGCACCTTCTTGTTAAACCGTTGAAAGATTTAATGTTTGGATTAAGGTTAAGTGAATGTAGGTCAAACATGCCGTTTGACAGATGTGTATTAGGGTGTTAAAGATTAAAAGTTATTCCCTACAAAGTGGTTCTACGGTTCTTATCATACAATTCAGCTGTGAAATAACACAATTTCTTTCATTATGTGTACAACAATAAAACTATTTCAATTTCAAGTTGTCTAAACCAGGGTGTTGTGAGGTGTGCATCTAAGTGTTTTGACGACCTGAAAAATATACTTAATTTTATTCAAACTTATTAGAATCTTAGGATGATTTAAACAAAGGCACAAGACCGGTTCCAGATTCAATAATACATATAGCAAGTATAACAAACCTTTAAACCTTGATACGTTCACTATTTCGGGCATTAAACTAATGGCTGATATTGTTTGTAGATAATACTAAGCCTAAGTTAACATCTTCAAAACATATTATCAATTTAATTCAAGCCTACTGTCCTAAACGCAGATATAGCACAATTATTAGATAATACGAATTAATTAAGTTAAGCATTCCCCAATCATGGGTGAGAGAAAATCAAACCAACTTGAATATAACAACAATGTCTTCGACCAACACGAGCCACGTGTTAGATGATGAATGAATTTGTGACACCGAATCAATTAAAATCTAAGTGTTGTTATGAAAAATGTCTCGGCTCTAAATTTGTAAAACTTATTTGTTTAAATTATTGGGAAAAGAATGGTTTCTTGTGTAATTTTCCTATCATATGGAAAACCATTTTTTGTATTTTTAAAAACCCTAAATGTATTGACTTAGATTATAAAATTTTACATAATATATTATGGTCAACGGAAAAGCTATTTAAGATAGGTAAAGTAAGTGACGAATATTGCCCGGTTTGTAAACCAATGCACGAAGATATTCAATATTTACTAGATGTCATTATTAAACAGTTTTTTTAAACTTCTAATTAAGAATATAATGAAAATAAATATAAGTAGTAATGAATTAGGCACTGTAATTTTATTTGGTCTCCAGCGGTCAAGTAAAACTCCACTAATAGAGTTATGTAATATTATTATGTGTACAATACGATTAGCTATATGTAATAGATAATATATCCTGCGTACACATCTACGAAAAGAATGAGAGTGCTAAAGATTTTATTTTAA